GTCTGCATGTTAGAAATAGAATTGAGACACTCAATACAAATGGCATCTATTGGACTGCTAGCAGTACTGTCACAACTGTTTTTAAGTTGTGAATTTTGTTGATTATAATTTGTCAAAGTGTACTTCGGAATGCTTGACGTGATACAATTAGGCACTAGAATAAGTAATATGGGAACTGGAATAGAGGGAGGGAATTCTATATATGTCACTAGCATGATATGTAGACAAAAGGAGGCAGGGAGCGAATGTTGATTTCGCTTCCATGCACTCATTTACAGCATAAAGCCTATTCTTATCATGTTAAAGATAAAAAATCCAAGTGAAAATAACTTTAATCTAGAACCATGAATGGTTCAAGTATGAAAAATATATGTCCCTCAAATAAAGGATGGTCATGCAATTGTGTCATATAAAACCATTTTAACTTGCATTTGACTGCTCAAATCAAATCTGCTAGATACTCAATTGGCATCAACTTTTAGCTTTGTCTCATGCTTATATCAATTTACTAGTTTTGTGGTAATTTTCTGTGTATCTTTTTGGTTGGGTCGCTATGAGTCAGAAGAATTATAAATTTAGGCTTGTTTGGCTACTAGCATGTGAGCACAAAGTTTAAAACAAGAATCTTGCTCTATAAACCATTAATTTGAGGTCATTGAGTGGTATCAGTTAGTAACAAGGGGTTAGCATGTCTACCTCACCTTTTTCTTTTAAAAAAAATAAAAAAATAAAAAAAAGTGAAAATTCCAAAATATTGTTAATTTTATGCTACTTCTCTGAGGGCATGGCCCAGGCAGACTGATGACGAGCTTCTGCAAGAGTGCCTGGGCCATGCCAGGCTATAGGGCATTTTAGCTTAAGCATAATTTGTTTGAGTACTAGTTATGAAAAAGAGGTTAGGTGTATGAATGGATTAAAATTTGGACAGAAAAAAGAAAGGGAGTGGCAATTTACATGTGCCAAAAAGTAAAAAGAAACACTGATGACCTGGTCATGCTTTATTTAAGCTGAAAGAAGAATCACTATAAGTTTTGTCAGTAGAATGATTCAAGGGCTTGAGTATCAGTTGACCTTTTCTCGTTTAGTGAGATGGCTTACTGAAAATATTCAATATGGACCAAACATGAAAGACCCTTCAGTTTTGCTGCAAAAATTTGAGACACCTTATCATGTCAAGTGTCAAGAGAAAGGAAGTAGCAGTTGGAAATCTTCACTCTGCTTATGGTTTCATTGTAAATAAAAGTAGTGACAAGCTAAGAATATGAAATCAAATATTTTACCGTTGATATTATTGATGGTTTTAAGTTTTAATTGAAGGTGTTTGACCCTCTGGCTTCTCTTCTTGTGATTTAAGGATTTTTGGTGCTTTTACAATCTTGAGAATCCTTTCTTTTCTTTTTTATCTCCATGAAAAGCAACAAAATTATGCAAGCATCATAATTTTGCTACCCTCTTATGATTATCAATTGTAGTGATGACAACTTCTAAATTAAGCTGTTCAACTCTCGTTTCTGTTATTCTAACTTTGTTCATCCTTTTTCTAGGACACTAGAGCTATAGATGCCATGACTATATTGTACTCCAGAATATGCGGTACTAGAGTTCTTTGAGCAATTTAAATTTTATCATTGCATAGCAATTTAGTCATTATATTGGTTTGAACTGAAGCAACCTATCAAAAGTCAAGACAAGCTGGGGAGCTAATAGAGTATAACAGATTTAGCAGTTAATTTCGCCTGAATCTCTATGACACCACCTATTGCATGCGAACCCTAGAACTTAATCGATGATAATATTTTTGAAAATAAGAACATTGCTTACCATCTAGAAGAGCTTCAGAGACTTCATCTCGTGTAACATTCAGTGCCCTCAACAGAATAGCTATATTCTGAGATTTCTTTGGGTCCAACACCCTGTTCTCCTGTTCGACAGGAGGCAAAACTGATTTTCGCGTAGCTTCTTTTGGAACTGAATTGACTGAATTGCAGCCAAAAAGAGTTTCCATCATGTCCTCATTCAACCTACAGACAAATTGAATAGGCCCAAGATCAGAAATTGTACATCAATGTTACCACAAAATACAAAACAAATACAAATTCACTCACTGAAACGAGCTTGATTTGAGTTGGTCCCACACTGTAGCTCGATCTGAGGTTGCCCGTACTTTGTCCCAATGCAGAGCCTTTAACTTTGGTTTTGCTCCATCTGTACTATCCCCTTCAGTCCTCTCAGCAGTACTGACACTTCTATTAACCTCTTCCACAGGAGTTTTACTCATTCCACTACCACTACTGGATTTATGACTTGGAGTCCAAGATTGCTGTTTTGGCAATACTGGGGTTGGTGTTGAGTAGAAAGTTCTGTCCAAAGAACCCACGTTTCTTGGCGCTGTCATTGATGGCGGCGGTGGGGGTGGTGGTGGAACCGGAATTTTAGTTGTTTGTGAGGATGAATTGCTGTTTAATGATCTAAGAAGCTCCATATTTGGTGGCGGTGGTGGTGCTGAAAATTTTGGCCTTTTGGGAGAATATGGAATTGATGTAGGCTGACGTGGCAATCTTTCTGGCAAATGTGATAATGTTGGTGGTGGAGGCGGCGGTGGCGGAGGTGGTTGCTGCTTTATTGATGGGATAATAACCTGCTTCAGTTCTGGAGAAGCGACCGCAAGCCTTGATTTAGGAGAAGTTCTTTTGGAATGAGGAACAGAAGTATTGTTATTAAGATGAAGCGGACGAGTTGAATTGACAACTGGTGTATAATAATCTTCATTGCTGATTGAAGAGCCCTGTGGGGTATAAAAGGCTGTGTCACGACTCTCTTCATCGGATGATGACGACATGGCAGTTGGTGAATTCTCATTCTGAGAAGGAGGCCTAGTTAGTTGTGGAAGTGGTTGCAATTCGGGGCTTGGCCTATACCGATCTGATCTCTTAATCGAATTCAGTTTATGATAAGGTGACCCATTTGCAGTTTCACTAACTGATGTCCTACTTGGCTCAACGGTTCCTATATACAAAAAGCTTGATGGGGGCACTCTTGCATCGTCTTGGACCCTCTGGGAATTGGGTCCGACGAGTTTCTGAGACTCACCGGGATGTTTAGACCTGTGGCGATAAAGAAAGAATGCAAGGGCTGATAACATTCCCAATGTGACAATACCAACTGAAATAGCAATGGCCACTTTTTTAGCTGGCTTTGTTGGTTGTGTTGCCGCTGGAATTGGTATGCTTCCATTCGTTGACGAGGAAGTTGTTGCCGGTGGTGGTTGATTCTGATCTTGACTTTGCCCGGCTGGCACCTCAGGGAAGAATGGCTGGTCTGGGTTTGGAAAAGTTGAACTACCTGGTGGTGGTGGTGCTGTTTGGGCTGGTGGAGGGGGTGACTCAGCTCCAGGTGGTGGTGCCGAACCTGCTGGAAACAATGGCTGATGAAGAATTCTTCTCTGAATTGAACTTCTGACAATGGTAGTTGTTATAGTTTGTGATAGGCAAGAAATGGACAATGATAGGAACAAAAAGAGGCTCAAATGATGAGCTTTCATGGTGAATTTTTCTGGGTTGATGTTATCTTCTTCTTTTGTTTCACCAAATTCATGTCTCTTTGGTGTTTTTTCCTTTTTCTCGGCTATGCAATTTGCAAAGTCTTGTTCGAGAAAATAAGGAAATGAAAGAGGAGAGAGAAGGGGAGAGTGTGTGAAGGGAAGCTTCTTTTTCCTGCAAGATCTGGATGCTCTAGTCTAGTAGAAGAAGTCAGCAGTAGCCGCATTTTTTTTTTTTATTTGTTTTTAATTCATTTTTATTTTTTTACTGTTATACGGTGTCGTGCAGTTGCCGGTGAGAGAATGACACGTAGACAGTGAAAATCTGCGTTGGTGGTTCTTTTCACGTCAATGGACGATAATGACCAAGTAGTGGTGATATTAAAAGGGCAACGTTCATGTCCCTTTTTGTCTATTAATCTTATTATTTTTTTCTTTCACTAAAACCGAGAAAAAGGTGCTTATATATTCGTTTTAATTTCCCTTTGGTTCCCGTTAAATTCCTGCGGCCAAGGCCTACTTTAGTACTTTTAAATTTTAATATTAACTTCTTGTTACATTTCAAAATAAGATTTTTGTGTATTTTTTTTTTTCTGAAAATTAAAAAAGAATTATGCCAAACTTCGTAATTACTTGTATCTAACGCGAAACTCAATTGCGGTTTATATAAATATCAATAATAATAAATCATGCCCGCACTATGAATCAACCTTTCTAAATTTTTTAACAATGTTGGTGACTATTTTTTCATATTATCATATTTTAATTATTATTGGGTGATTTGATAGTAAAAGAACAAGGAATGATCTAAGATAATCTCTCAAATTCGAATCCACTTAATAATAAAAAAACAATATAAATATTTAACATAGCCTCTCAAGAGGAATATCTAACATAGTTTTTGAAATTTGAGTTTTCAAAGTTATTAATGAAGGTGATTATTAGAACTCTTATTTCATCGATAATTTTAAGGTTTTGGATAATTAGTTGAGTAAATTAACACAAACAATTATGAGCTTTTTATGCTAAGCTAATATATGGTGTGAAAAAAGAAAATTTTGAAGTAGCTTGTTCGTCAAGAATTTTATAACTGAAAAATTAGATTGAGAGGGAGAAATTATGGATGTTGTTTGGCTGTTTTTGTTAGGTTTGATTGATTGATGGAACATGTAATAATGCACCATAATAAGCCCAATTCACAACCTTATAATATAAGAGTAATAATAATAAGTGTAATGTAAAATTAACGTAAAAATTGTACGGGAAAGCAAGGACATACAAGTAATTGTAGAACAAAGTGGAAATATGGTCCAGGACTCCAGGTTAACGTTTAGCCCTTTTATTGGTGGGTTGATCCACCGACCCTATCGATTTGTGCTGAGGGGGGGACATGCACACGTCCATTTGCATTTGCTTTTTTGCTTTTCTCCTATTCCTTTCCTCTTTTAATGGACATCCATATACTTTCAATGAGACTCCAGCCGTTTGTAATTACAATATGATCCCTACTTTGTATTTACTTACTTGGTAACGATTAAGACTCCCAAAACCGTAAGAACGTAGAAATACATCCAAACAGTTTAGTATTACCATTTCAAAATTTTTATATTACTTAATCCCAAAAACAGAAATTCCAAGGCGATTTGGGCCTACAAAGCTGACCCACAAGTGAATTTGGCTACAAACTTCTCAACGAGGGTACAAAGAATCCAAACAAACAAACAAACAAATAAATAAAGAGAAGTAATATACTTTACCTGCCACAACAGACACGCAATAAAAATGGTCTTTAGTTGAAGAAATATTTGTTATTGTATTTAAAGATAGAGTAAACTACTTTTTCCCATCTAAATTATGGTATGATTGATATTTTTCCATTTATAGGTTTTTAAAATATTATTTTATTATTTAAATTTATATTCTATTTTTAATTTTAAAATTCATTGCGATATTCCACACTACTATCATTTTCTTCTCCGATATCATTTATCAAAATCCCTCAAACCCTATTCCCGCCGACCTTATCAATCACTGGTAATCGAGCGATTAAGGTTTGTATAGTTACTCCTCCTAAGCCAAATTTTAATCAATCTTAACTACTAAAATCCAATATTTCAGCACCAAAAGACTCATCGGTCTCCTCTCCTTAAAAGTTTCAACAATCTGGATCGAGTTTGCTCTTTATTCACTGTCGAAATATAAATTTAAGTAGTAAAATAGTATTTTAAAAGTCTGTTAGTGAAAAAGTATCAATAAACTATTATTTGAGTGAAAAAAGGTCAGTTAACTCTTAAAGATATAATATAATGACTTATTTTAATTTTTAGGTGATATATTACAAGGAAAAAGAAAGAAAATGGAAAGATAACTAATAATATATCCTAAAATTAGTTAAGGTGTTATGTATTAGGTGTCAATCGTCAATCTTATATAGTTTTTTTTATAGTGTGTAATGAAATGTCTTTCTATTCTTTATATTAATCTAAAACTTGAGAAAAGAAACATCAACAACAAAAAATGATTATTAAAATAAAATCGGAAAAAAGATGAAAGTTAAGTTCCTGTTGGCCGACAGAAATGTGTATGATTATTGGGCTTGGCTTATACTTCAAATCGAGTTGATTGACAAAGAAATGATATCAGTTGATGGCTACCACTGTTTATATTCATTAAAAACTGCTTTATGGATCATGGATCATGGCTGATTATAGCTGTCATCATGAGGCGATTATTAAATTATTAATCTTATTAAATAAAACATTACCCTGAGGAGATTTCCTATCTCAACCTCCAAGAAAGATAACATTAAGAGGGTCCTACTCCTAGTCCCAGTGTTAAATATTAGTATTTTCTTTGTGAGTGGACAGATTATATTAGTTTCCGAATTCAGGAATTTTAACCTCATATGGGATTGTTTATTATGAAAAAAATGGTTGTTTGTATGATTTAAATGTCTCCATATGTAACTCTTCTTTCCCAATTCAGTATGCACGTTTAGTCAATGTGAAGAAGCGAACAACATAAGTCTTGTATCCAGTTAATTTCTGAGTGGAAACAATGGACAAAACCACAGCTGGCTGGCTCAGTTTTTCTTCTTGAAATTGCATGGAAACATGGTATTAAAGTCTTTTAACTACTTTTGCCACTCAAGTCAAGTCCAAAAATTGCTCTCTCATTTGATTGCTAAATGTACCATAAATTGAGTGAGAAACATTGTTGAAATTTGTCTTTAATCTTGAATCTGAACATACAATTGCAAATTGACATTCCCCACCCCTACCCCCACGCACAACACAAGGCGAATCCATGTGAGACATACCCTATATTCGAGTAAAAAACTCTTTTATGAACTTGTTTACATTAAATCCATCTGTCTGTTTGATCGTTGAAAGATTTCAAGAACAAGGTAAGTCAATTATCCTCTCCACGCTGTGTTCCCAATTAGAAAACAAATATAGCTCCTTCCTTGAGTACTAATAAAAAAACTTACTCCATTATTTGTGAATACTATTTGGCTTCAATATACTCAATAAAATATTTTAAAAACAGCTCAATTGAAAGCTTCAAAATCAATTCTTAAATAACACATTTATACCCCTTGCTGGTTATTATTAGCTTAAATAGTATTTGTTTATCATAAGTTAAAAATACAAATTTTAAATTATATATATATAGAATTAGGATCCTTCCTATATGAGTTTTTGTGAAACATTTAAAGATCTTATGACATCTTTATAATTAATATAGTATATGGTTATTATCTTTTTTTTTTTTTTTTGGATAATTGGGATGTCCATGAGTTTGTGTTGTACCTCAACTAATCTCCGGTGTCTATTAACACCCTATAAACTCAAAGTATAAATAAATCATAATATTATTGTGATAGATAACTCCAATGTTTAAATTAAACACTCAAAAAATGAAACACACCTCATTGACTGCTAAGTCATTCTCTTGGATTGATTATAATATATTTCTTTTGATAAAATATCAACTATTATCATATCTTTGTATTTTGTTCTAGTAAAAGCGAGAAAAAATTTAAGTGTGTATTTGGTACCAATTAAAAAAAAAAAAAAAAAAAAAAAGGTAAAAAATGGATACACAAGATGGGTCTAGATAATGTAAATGAAAGTTTGATTCTTAATTCTTTTGTTGATATAGATTTCAGAGTAGAATGAAATGATAATAAAAAAATTAATGGGGTGGTGGGAAACAAAAAGCATAAGCAATTAATAAAGGTGGGATATGAGTCAGAGGAGGATCAGAGGGTAACAAAGTGGTTTCTTTAGTTGATCATAAGAGTGGACAACACGAAAACTTGTTATGTTCTTTCATAATGTCCAAAGCCAATGCCAATTATGCCCTTTTCTTATTCTCTCATCCTTTTGGTTTGGTTTTGGTTTCCTAGTTTAAGTAAACCTTGGTTACCAAATAACAATGGCATGTTTTGTTTTAACATTCCGAACCTCAAACGAAAGCAAGCACCTTTGCATCCTATGCGCATTTCTTTTAATATTATTATTTCACCTTTTTCATCCAAATTAACTTGAGTGTCATATTTTGAGTCAAATTTACCAAAGACAAAAAGTGGTCTACAAAGTTTTCAATTGTTATGATGAAACTTAAAATTAACAAATAATGAAAAGAACAGTGAATGTCAAACCAATTATCAATTTAAATTTAAGCTTTATCAAAAACAAGAACAGAGTTAAAATAAACTTTTATTTTAAATAATTAATTAATGACATCCTCTAAAAATAAAATAAATCTGGTTATTTAATTTTCATATTTCAATTCCTATCTTGTTATCCATTCTCATAAAAAAAAAAAATTAGGGTTTATGAAATAATAGTGAGTGTCAAAAGTACTTGTAAAGAATGAGGAATTAAAGTTAATTTTAATAATTTAATATATTAATAAAAGTGGAAGTTTCTTTAATCCATTAGTGGGCTAAAATAGATCTACTTATACAAAACTTTAGGAAGGACAGCCCATTTAGAAATGGGTGGGAATTTAGGCCTGAAGAAATCAAGTTTTATTAATAGGAGAAAGAGAAAATGGAGGGTGTGATTAGTGATAATAGCTAATCAACCACCACATTCACTGTCTCCACTTGCAGACACTGGGGCACGGGACTGGCAGCGGCAGGGGCTACAGAGTAGGAATCAGAAATCAAATCT